TATTCCTTTAAACTTTTTTTTTAGATTCAAGTTTTGTTTTTGTTTTTATGTTAGTTATTTCACTGTATATTTCCCAAAGGAAGACCAACAGCCAGGCTTCACTTCACTTAGAGAATGGATTATAGATGGTTAGGAACAAAACATCTCCAGGTTTGAGGACTGTATACAAAAATAAAACCCATTTTGTTATTATGATTTAAATTACATGAGACAATGTCTCTTATAAATGTAATACAAAAATAATATCTCTTATATATATGGATTCCTATACTCTAATCATATTAAATGTCATTTGTAAAATGTATTCTTTAAAGACAGATTTTATTTAGGATTGACTTTTTAAATGATGACATGAATAGCAGGCCATACTTTAAGCACATGACAAAAACATTTTCTCAAATTACACAGAAATGGGCTATTTTAGCATAGCTGACATTAAACATATAGGTGAGGGATAACATAATCACAATTATAAACAATGTGAAACAACTTTAAACGACCTACAAGGTAGATTACAAGCCTTTTTCACTGGGGTAAAATCTTGCGGAGATTCGACAACATGAATAGACCGTTTCACGATTACTTCCGCGCATGCGTATAACTCCTTCCGCAGGGCAACTTGTTTACATAGGTTACGCTGACTACTACGACATGGTAGTAACTTGATGGAAATAAAAGGATTCTTATATGAAAGTGTGTTTGTTTTCTGTTTTCCTAACATATTTAGACCTTTCTTGTGTTGATTATGCATAAATAAACATAATATTTAGATAGAAATATGAAATAAAATCGAGAACCGAGTTTAGTACACAAAGGGGGCACTTCCGTGTTGATCAATACGACGATGGCTTCCCGGGAGAATTTGAATGACCAGAACAGGAAAAGAAGGGGGTCTCTCGCTGAAATACCAACTAAGTTTCAGACACTGGCATTGGTGGGTACTGTGCCCGAGATTTCTGGACATGAAAACCTCCCCCCTCTACAGTCTGCGTCGTTTTCCCCTGCCACGCCCACCTTCCTACCCAAAATATCTTTTCAACAGATCTACCATCATATGATTTTAAGACAAACAACAGAAGGGAGACAGGTGAAGAATTTCAAGGGTTTGGATCAGGGCAGTCAAGCATTTTGAGGCTGGAGACATATCACATATAATGACAGCTCAGGTATGATGGTTTAATAGGCATTAAAAAAAGCATACTAGTATGTTTGTGTATACTAGTATTTAAACCATCCTTTTTTAACATTTCAACTATGCCTATATAAATTTTTTTTCAGTTTATTTTTGACCTTTCATATGAAATTCTACAATGAATATATAACATATTGAACTGTTTACTTAATGGAAATATTGATTACTATATAAGAATGAAAATGATGAGCGAAGACGGACTATGATGAAGAGAATAAACCCTTATTTAGATAAATGGTAACTTTCTATCTAAAAGTTCTTATCTCAGATGTTTAACATTTATAAATTCAACTTAGATTGACGAGTTCCTGGACTACATCAGGGCTGACTGCTTAGCTTCCATGAAAAAATTGAAGTACAAAGTTTTTCTCTGTGTTGAGGATAGGACTACAGTTCAGTATGCCTATTGTGAATGTCCCATTGGGTACGCATAATTGTAGAAACTAACATGAAAAATACAAAGTTAAAGAAATAAAAAAATTGATAACTTCCTAAATCACAAACAAATTCTACATATATTTTTTTGATGTAGTCTAGCCCAAACATGCAGCCACATTGGAGGACTGTTGTTTTATTTACACCATATGCATCTCACAGAGGTGCTAAAGGCAGACAGTGCAACCTCAAGGCCATGTCAGTGGAACGTCCCTCGTCCACTGAAGATGGACCCCATGCCCTTGAGGGAATGGAATCTCGGGCGACCGAAATTGACAACAGAGGGGGAACTGGAGTACCATGAGAGGAAACAATTAGACTTTGATCCTCGGCATCCTGAAGAGAGAGACTTTGATTCCACACATGCCATGGAACATTTGATGATGTTAAAAAAAATATTTCCCAAAACTGGTATAAAAGAAGTATTCATCGTTCATTTTAATGTATAGAAAACAATACATAATTCATGTTAGATAAGACTAAATATGGGTTCAGTTTAAGATTTATTTTCAAAATCTTGATAAATCAATTTACTAATTTCGAAAGGAAAATGTGAACTCACTGGTAGAAACAAAAGTGTTAAACATGTTTATCAACGTGTAGGCATAAGAACAGCTGATTAAAATTTAAAAGGCAATGTTTGTAATTTTGCTTTACAAAAAAATGCAATGTACATGTATATTACAGTCTATACACACAAAAACCACAAAAAAGAATTAATACAAATATTCAGCTTTACAAAACATCAAAATTTTCATTCTCAGCATGAGTCACTTATGGACCATTCCAGATGAGACACCTAATCCATCTGAGGAAATTGAAGTCGAGACAAACAGAGGATCCCCTGGAGACATCAATGAAAAGTCTTGTCTTGTCTGAGGAGAACTGTAAGTGAAAAAGTTTTTTGTAAATCTATGGTATAAATTGATAATAATCTTTATCTAAAAGCAAAAACATTATTGTTACAGTGCCCATTCCAGTTTCTATTGAAGAAAGCCTAAGTGCCTACATTGAGAAGAGAACAAGAGGCCAAAGAACATGTGATATTTGGAGGGATCTGCAGAGAGAAGAATAACCAGTTCATTATTTGGTCTAGTTCTGAAATCTGGAAAAAATCCACAAAGCCTAGTGAAGCAGATTATTAATGGATCAAGTTTAGACAGGTAAAAGATTAGAATATGTTTAAAAT